GCTTTTGATCCTTGTTTGGGTCTGAGCAGATTATTTGTTTCGATTGCAAACTAATTAAATTCATCCCTTCAGGCCTATGTCTTGCATCTCAAATGGAACCCTATTCCCTATGTAGTGCGCTACTTTCGACCAGGTCCCATAGGTCTCTTGTCAAAAATAGTGCACTATGTAGGGAATAGCATGCCAAATTGGGCTGAGCCTGAGTCTAATCTCATTGTGGCTATTCAGCATAAGCTCCTGTGGATGGGGGGGGGGGGTAAGAGGACAAGTTAATTCAGTTAAATATACCTGCCTGGTGGGGTGGAGGGATACCTGTGGTGACAAGGCCCTTTTTCAATTATGCTGTCATTCACCTTGGTAAAGTAATCCCATCAACGGGGCCTCACATTGTATCCTTCCCCCAGCAGGAGAGGTAGAGTCCTCCCCGACCTTATTGGAAGTGGTGTGTGTGTGTGTGTGTGTGTGTGTGTGTGTGTGTGTGTGTGTGTGTGGGGTGGTAGAACATATGCTACGTTAATGTTGTTAGTCTCCAGGGTGTTGATGACTGTATGCAGCCGATATGATATGTGTCAATCTGTGTGGGTGTTCTGTGAGCTTGCCTGCTGCTATGTTTTAGTATGACACACACAACCACGCTGCCACACAGGACCTCCATGCCTTATTGCCTTTTCCCGTCCTTTAATATCTCCTTTATCTCCTTTAATATCTCCTTTTAATATCCTCTTCTCTTCTTCTCTCCCCTCAGCAATCTATAACTATGATGTCCGCGGAGATGAGGAGCTGTCACTACAGATTGGAGACACGGTCCACATACTAGAGACATATGAAGGTAGGAACACACTAGCTGATGACACGGTCCACATACTAGAGACATATGAAGGTAGGAACACACTAACTGATGACACGGTCCACATACTAGAGACATATGAAGGTAGGAACACACTAACTGATGACACGGTCCACATACTAGAGACATATGAAGGTAGGAACACACTAACTGATGACACGGTCCACATACTAGAGACATATGAAGGTAGGAACACACTAGCTGATGACACGGTCCACATACTAGAGACATGTGAAGGTAGGAACACACTAACTGATGACACGGTCCACATACTAGAGACATATGAAGGTAGGAACACACTAACTGATGACACGGTCCACATACTAGAGACATATGAAGGTAGGAACACACTAACTGATGACACGGTCCACATACTAGAGACATATGAAGGTAGGAACACACTAACTGATGACACGGTCCACATACTAGAGACATGTGAAGGTAGGAACACACTAACTGATGACACGGTCCACATACTAGAGACATGTGAAGGTAGGAACACACTAACTGATGACACGGTCCACATACTAGAGACATGTGAAGGTAGGAACACACTAACTGATGACACGGTCCACATACTAGAGACATATGAAGGTAGGAACACACTAACTGATGACACGGTCCACATACTAGAGACATATGAAGGTAGGAACACACTAACTGATGACACGGTCCACATACTAGAGACATATGAAGGTAGGAACACACTAACTGATGACACGGTCCACATACTAGAGACATATGAAGGTAGGAACACACTAACTGATGACACGGTCCACATACTAGAGACAGGTAGTGTATACTGGAAGTTTATAAGGGCACACTAACTGATGACACTCCTGATCAGTTTACAGAGGAATGTTGCAGGTTATTCTGTCATTCACAGTGACACTGGTGTTCTGTCAAAGTTTTGGTAAATGTCTCCAATAAGCTAAGCTGATCTGTGCAATTTCCACCCTGTAAGAATGTTTCACACATTACCAGATTCAACTGTCCCAGATCTACAATAATTATGTTATCTAGATGACTGTCCCCCGTCCTTTACAATCATTCTGTTTTCTAGATGACTGTCCCCCGTCTTCTACAATCATTCTGTTATCTAGATGACTGTCCCCCGTCTTCTACAATCATTCTGTTATCTAGATGACTGTCCCCCGTCTTCTACAATCATTCTGTTATCTAGATGACTGTCCCCCGTCTTCTACAATCATTCTGTTATCTAGATGACTGTCCCCTGTCCTTTACAATCATTCTGTTATCTAGATGACTGTCCCCCCTCCTCTACAATCATTCTGTTATCTAGATGACTGTCCCCCGTCTTCTACAATCATTCTGTTTTCTAGATGACTGTCCCCCGTCCTTTACAATCATTCTGTTATCTAGATTACTGTCCCCCCGTCCTTTACAATCATTCTGTTATCTAGATGACTGTCCCCCGTCCTTTACAATCATTCTGTTATCTAGATGACTGTCCCCCGTCTTCTACAATCATTCTGTTTTCTAGATGACTGTCCCCCGTCCTTTACAATCATTCTGTTATCTAGATGACTGTCCCCCGTCCTTTACAGTCATTCTGTTATCTAGATGACGGTTCTACTTGATGCTAATGCTACGTGTTGTTTCCTTGACCATGTGATATGTCCTGTTCTCTTCACCTCCAGGCTGGTACCGAGGTCACAGACTGAGGAGAAAGTCCAAGAAAGTGAGTTGATATTTTTACATTTTCAACGGTGTAGTATCATTTCAGATATTCCCTTAAACTATTCAGGGTCTTTTGGAGTGTCGTTCCAACATCTGAAATGACCTGCTGTAAAAGTTCAGTTAAGTCTTTGTTAGTCATAATGTGATATATACTATGATATTAATATGGCATAATGTCTAACAAATCTAATATTATTTTGTATCAGTGTTTTATTGTGTGTCCTGTCTTTCCACTCAACTCTTCTGCTGTGCCGTGGACTCAGGATGTCATTTAACCTCATGAAACTAGATCAGGCTTTATACAGTGTGTCCCATCCTATATCAAATGATTTATTGTGTGTCCTGTCTTTCCCACCTTCTGTTCCAGGGGATCTTTCCTGCCTGTTACATACACCTCAAGGAGGCCACCGTTGAAGGCAATGGGTCAGTGCTGATTCTGTTTATTCTTTTGAGGGTATTTTGACACTTTTATTGAGAGAGCATGGGAAATCAGATGGGGAAGCAGGCTGGTGGGAGAAATGGAGGGAAAGGTGGACGCGAGTGGGGACTGATACATGTGACTTTGTACCGGCAGTGTTACCCACTCAACCACGGCTCTACTGCTGCTTCCGATGGTATCCTACTGAATTACGTTGGGATTGTAGAATGGACAATTTGAGCTGATTTGTATGAATCAAATGGACAACTTGAGATGATTGCTTCCACCTTCTACTTGTGTAGTTGTTGTAAACTAGCCTGGCCCCAGATCGGATCTCACTAGCCTGGCCCCAGATCTGATCTCACTAGCCTGGTCCCCAGATCTGATCTCACTAGCCTGGCCCCAGATCGGATCTCACTAGCCTGGCCCCAGATCTGATCTCACTAGCCTGGCCCCAGATCGGATCTCACTAGCCTGGCCCCAGATCTGATCTCACTAGCCTGGTCCCCAGATCGGATCTCACTAGCCTGGCCCCAGATCGGATCTCACTAGCCTGGCCCCAGATCGGATCTCACTAGCCTGGCCCCAGATCTGATCTCACTAGCCTGGCCCCAGATCGGATCTCACTAGCCTGGCCCCAGATCTGATCTCACTAGCCTGGTCCCCAGATCTGATCTCACTAGCCTGGCCCCAGATCGGATCTCACTAGCCTGGCCCCAGATCTGATCTCACTAGCCTGGCCCTAGATCGGATCTCACTAGCCTGGCCCCAGATCTGATCTCACTAGCCTGGCCCCAGATCTGATCTCACTAGCCTGGCCCCAGATCTGATCTCACTAGCCTGGCCCCAGATCTGATCTCACTAGCCTGGCCCCAGATCTGATCTCACTAGCCTGGCCCCAGATCTGATCTCAGTAGCCTGGCCCCAGATCTGATCTCACTAGCCTGGCCCCAGATCTGATCTCACTAGCCTGGCCCCAGATCTGTTTGCGCTTTTGCCTGCTCCTGTGTTTCCCAAACTCGATCTTGTGCCCCCCCCCGGTGCATGTTTAGTTTTTTGCCCTAGCACTACACAGCTGATTCAAAAAACCAACTCATCATCAAGCTTTGATTATTTGAATCAGCTGTGTAGTGCTAGGGCAAAAAACCCTGCCTCACTGGTGGCACTGCTTCTTTGAAGTCATCACAGCACAAATCCGCAATCACATCACGTCCCGTTGTATTTCACTTTCCCTAATAAGAACTAACATTTGAAAAACCTTTTTAGCTGTGAAGTAATCAACTGAAAGAAGTAGTTTCAAAGTAGTTTGACAAGGATATTTTTGTCAGAAATAAACGTCCCATTTGTTTTAAAAGGCTGTAGTAGTCAGTGCACAGTGACACTAATTAGAATTCCAATTAAAAACCAGTCAGAATCCAGCTTTTATACAAGTAAATTCAAGAATCAATAGATGTTTTAGACTGATATATAGATTAAAAAAATTATTCACACAGCGAAGGGAATACTCTGACTTGGCTCATATCGCTTTCAAACAACGTTAAAGATTGAGCAATATGTCTGCATAAGAGAGAGTACGCTGTGTACCGCGTAGCCTACAGCTTCTACAGGGACATCCTCCTCCTCCGTTGTTTTTTTTTTTGTCAATGTTTTTCTATTTCCCTCATCTAATGCCATATGACGTCATCCGTCCCTGTCTTCTTTCATATGATGGATGGATGAAAGGAGAGGTAACTGTCTGCATCCACCGACTGTTGTTGTCACGTGGAACCCTTCCCTTCATCTCTCCCTCCCTTCTCTCGATGGACGGAGAGGGAGGAGAGAGAGGTGACTGTCTAGATCCACTCATGTGGAACCCATCCATGTAGTCATTGACTGTTGTCATGTGGAACCCGTCCATGTAGTCCCTCACTGTATGACTGTATGAATGGAGAGGGGGAGAGTGATGAATGGAGAGGGGGAGAGTGATGAATGGAGAGGGGGAGAGTGATGAATGGAGAGGGGGAGAGTGATGAATGGAGAGGGGGAGAGTGATGAATGGAGAGGGGGAGAGTGATGAATGGAGAGGGGGAGAGTGATGAATATCCACTGACTGTTGTTGCCATGCGTAACCCCTCCCTGGCTGTTGTTGTCATGCGTAACCCCTCCCTGACTGTTGTTGCCATGCGTAACCCCTCCCTGACTGTTGTTGCCATGCGTAACCCCTCCCTGGCTGTTGTTGCCATGCGTAACCCCTCCCTGACTGTTGTTGCCATGCGTAACCCCTCCCTGGCTGTTGTTGCCATGCGTAACCCCTCCCTGACTGTTGTTGCCATGCGTAACCCCTCCCTGGCTGTTGTTGCCATGGGTAACCCCTCCCTGGCTGTTGTTGTCATGCGTAACCCCTCCCTGGCTGTTGTTGCCATGGGTAACCCCTCCCTGGCTGTTGTTGTCATGCGTAACCCCTCCCTGGCTGTTGTTGCCATGCGTAACCCCTCCCTGACTGTTGTTGTCATGCGTAACCCCTCCCTGGCTGTTGTTGTCATGCGTAACCCCTCCCTGGCTGTTGTTGCCATGCGTAACCCCTCCCTGACTGTTGTTGTCATGCGTAACCCCTCCCTGGCTGTTGTTGTCATGCGTAACCCCTCTCTGGCTGTTGTCATATGCAATAGAATGAGGAATTGGCGTGCTCGACTCAACAGTTAATAGTAACAAAAAGTATTTAGGTGCTGCGTTCAAAAGGCATATACTGGAAAAAAGGGAAAACCCTCCCAAACTGTGAGTCTTTACGTTTGAATGTATTTTAAGAAGCAGCAGAGGTCAGAGAAAACGGAATGCGTCTTTACGTTTGAATGTATTTTAAGAAGAAGCAGAGGTCAGAGAAAACGGAATGCGTTTCGGCATGTTTAGGTGACGGCCTTTGTCATATACAACCCACCAACCCATCTGTCTGTATTTTCAGGCACAAGGAGACCGTGATTCCCAACGAGCTGCCTCTGGTCCAGGAGGTCACCACCACCTTGCGTGAGTGGGCTTCCATATGGAGAGACCTCTACGTGGTGAGTAGAGTGAGTCACGTATCTTCACACCTAACATTATACATTACATTTTAGTCATTTAGCAGACGCTCTTATCCAGAGCGACTTACAGTTAGTGAATACATATTTTTTTTTATACTGGCCCCCCCGTGGGAATCAAACCCACAACCCTGGCGTTGCAAACGCCATGCTCTATCAACTGAGCTACATCCCTGCCGGCCATTCCCTCCCCTACCGTGGACGACGCTGGGCCAATTGTGCGCCGCCCATGAGTCTCCCGGTCGCGGCCGGCTGCGACAGAGACTGGATACGAACCAGGATCTCTAGTGGCACAGTTAGCACTGCGATGCAGTGCCTTAGACCACTGCGCCACTCAGGAGTACAACCACACACACACACACACACACACACACATTCATGCTACACACACATCACAACTGCTGCTACCAGACTCTTAGTATGATTGCTAAATACTGCTCAACGTAAACACTTGACCCCTAATCCCCCCTTCGCCAAAACGTGTAAATATTGGACTTTAAATGGTTCCTTCCTGTATTATTCTGATGCTAACATGTTTATTCTATTCTACTGAGACATTTACTTTCTGTTCCTATTCTTATATTTTAGTATTTCTTATTGTTGTTGCGTTGTCCAGAAGGAACCTGCAAGTTAGCATTTTAGTTGTACGGTGTATAGCATGTGTATCCTGTACATATCACTAATAAAACTTGAAACACACACTGTATGTAGAATGTGCTCTCTGTGGTGTGTTGAATTTGAGGACAATGTGACCATTTTTTAGTTTTGGATGGTTAACACACAAAAGCTCTGAGGAAGGCCAGAAGGCTTTAATAAGTGATACTAGCAAGAGCAGGGTCTGGGTTTCTCTATTGGTTGAAGTTATCTCGTTGTCCCCGTGACCCCGTGACCCTGTAATCAGATCACTCAGATGTTCATTTTAGAATGTTGCACGGTGGGCACTAAAGACAACTGACTTCCTTGTCGTCTCTTTCATGGAGTGTTCGGACAGATTGCTCATGAGGTGTGTGTGGTTGTGTCTGTGTGTTGGTGTTACAGGGGGACCGGCGGGAGATGTTTAACTGTGTCAGGGACATGATCTATGACCTGATTGAGTGGCGATCTCAGATCCTGTCAGGGACGCTCCCACAAGACGAGCTGGCTGAGCTGAAACAGAGAATCACCTCTAAGATCGACTACGGGAATAAGTAAGGACCTGCTCTCTCTCTCTCTCGCTCTCTCTCTCTTTCTTACTCGCTCTCTCTCTCTCACGCTCGCTCTCTCGCTCGCGCTCTCTCGCGGTCTCTCGCGCTCTCACGCTCGCTCTCACGCTTGCTCCCTCTCGCTCGCTCTCTCTCTCTCTCTCTCTCTCTCTCTCTCTCTCTACATCTTTACCATAGTCCAGGTGATCTGTCTATCCTTCTCTGACCATATTAACTCAGCAGAATGGGTTTTGTTCAGAAAGGTAATCCATGTTGTCAGTCATTGACCAATAACACAATAGAGTAGGTAGACTAAATGATTGACAGAGAACAAATCATTTTTAATTTCATGTTTTATTTAAAGGTCCAATGCAGTATTATTATTTTTTTTATCTCAGTATCAAATCATTTCTGGCTAACAATTAAGTAGCAAAGAGCAATTTCTCAAGCAACAATTTTGCTAGGACTGTCTGGTAGTGGTCTGAGTGGGGGGGGGGGGGGGGGAACTGAAAACTAGCTGGTATTGGCAGAGAGCTTTGGAACGGTTTTTCATATTGGTCTATTAACTAATTAGTGAGGTCACCAGGCAGGCCAAAACTCCATCCCGCCACAACAGGCAGACATTTCAGGTGGTCTATCGAAAAAACTCTTACACTAAAAGGGCATTATCATAGTTTTCACAGTATTATTCCATCCTCCATAATGTGGAAATATATATATATTGTTGTACGAGATCTTCAGTTTCTTGGCAATTTCTCGCATAGAATAGTCTTCATTTCTCAGAACAAGAATAGACTGACGAGTTTCGGAAGAAAGTTATTTGTTTCTGGCCATTTTGAGTCTGTAATCGAATCCACAATTGCTGAAGCTCCAGATACTCAACTAGTCTCAAGAAGGCCAGTTTTATTGCTTCTTTAATCAGCACAACAGTTTTCAGCTGTGCTAACATAATTGAAAAAGGGTTTTCTAATGATCAACTAGTCTTTTAAAATGATAAACTTGGATTAGCAAACACAACGTGCCATTGGAACACAGGACTGATGGTTGCTGATAATGTGCCTCTGTACGCCTATGTAGATATTCCATAAAAAATCAGCCGTTTTCAGTTACAATAGCCATTTACAACATTAACAATGTCTACACTGTATTTCTGATCTGTTTGATGTTATTTTAATGGAAAAATTGCTTTTCTTTCGAAAACAAGGACATTTCTAAGTGACCCCAAACTTCTGAACGGTAGTGTGTGTGGATGTATATCTATATATATATATCTATATATATATCTATATCTATATATATATATATATATAAACAGGAAAATCACATTTTTGACGGCACAGGGCCTTTAACCCTTATTTTAGGGGTTGAGCCTAAATCATAAGGTTTAGTTACTTGAGTACCCATACTGTATTCCATCACACACTATGGTGCCTATTGTTGGACCTGCAGTGGTCTTTTGTGGTCCAGAAAATTAGCTGGAAATGAGAGAGGAGAGCTTGGCTTCCCTGGTGTGATGAAAGTTCCAACACAGTGAGGTGGATAAATGTATCTGGCAGGGGAGCAGAGTGGAATACATAGATTATCTCCCAGCACCGTTCACACCTGGGTGGGATTCTGTGGGAGATGAAAAACAGCTCTAAAGATGGAGAAGGAGCTGAAAAACAGAGCTCTAGAGATGGAGATGGAGAGGGAGGAGCTGAGAAACAGAGCTCTAGAGATGGAGAGGGAGGAGCTGAAAAACAGAGCTCTAGAGATGGAGAGGGAGGAGGAGCTGAGAAACAGAGCTCTAGAAATGGAGAGGGAGGAGCTGAGAAACAGAGCTCTAGAGATGGAGAGGGAGGAGCTGAGAAACAGAGCTCTAGAGATGGAGGAGGAGGAGCTGAGAAACAGAGCTCTAGAGATGGAGAGGGAGGAGGAGCTGAAAAACAGAGCTCTAGAGATGGAGAGGGAGGAGCTGAGAAACAGAGCTCTAGAGATGGAGGAGGAGGAGCTGAGAAACAGAGCTCTATAAATGGAGAGGGAGGAGGAGCTGAGAAACAGAGCTCTAGAGATGGAGAGGGAGGAGCTTAGAAACAGAGGTCTAGAGATGGAGAGGGAGGAGCTGAGAAACAGAGCTCTAGAGATGGAGAGGGAGGAGCTGAAAAACAGAGCTCTAAGATGGAGAGGGAGGAGCTTTGAACAGAGCTCTAGAATGGAGAGGAGGAGCTGAGAAACAGAGCTCAGAGATGGAGAGGGAGGGGCTGAGAAACGAGCTCTAGAGATGGAGAGGGAGGAGGAGCTGAAAAACAAGCTCTAGAGATGGAGAGGGAGGAGCTGAAAAACAACTCTAGAGATTGGAGAGGGAGGAGCTTAGAACAGAGGTCTAGAGATGGAGAGGGAGGAGCTGAGAAAACAGAGCTCTAGAGATGGAAGGGAGGAGCTGAAAAACAAGGGTCTAGAGATGGAGAGGGGGGAGCTTAGAAACAGAGCTCTAGAGATGGAGAGGGAGGGCTAGAAACAGAGGTCTAGAGATGGAGAGGGAGGAGCTGAGAAACAGAGCTCTAGAGATGGAGAGGGAGGAGCTGAAAAACAGAGCTCTAGAGATGGAGAGGGAGGAGCTTAGAAACAGAGCTCTAGAGATGGAGAGGGGAGGAGCTGAGAAACAGAGCTCTAGAGATGGAGAGGGAGGAGCTGAGAAACAGAGCTCTAGAGATGGAGAGGGAGGAGCTTAGAAACAGAGCTCTAGAGATGGAGAGGAGGAGCTGAGAAACAGAGCTCTAGAGATGGAGAGGGAGAGCTTAGGAAACAGAGCTCTAGAGATGGAGAGGGAGGAGCTGAGAAACAGAGCCTAGAGATGGAGAGGGAGGAGCTGAAAAACAGAGCTCTAGAGATGGAGGGAGGAGCTGAGAAACAGAGCTCTAGAGATGGAGAGGGAGGAGCTGAGAAACAGAGCTCTAGAGATGGAGAGGGAGGAGCTTAGAAACAGAGCTCTAGAGATGGAGAGGGAGGAGCTGAGAAACAGAGCTCTAGAGATGGAGAGGGAGGAGCTGAGAAACAGAGCTCTAGAGATGGAGAGGGAGGAGCTGAGAAACAGAGCTCTCCCAGCATCTCACTCACTGTTAGGAAATTGAAAGGTCCTCTCTCTCTCTCTACTTTCACTTTTCTTTTCTGTTCTTTACCCGGGGGGGTTTTGGCCCCCCCCCCTCAAAAAAAAAATTTTCCCCCCCCAAATTTCCCCCCCCCGGGGGGAATCAGCTCCCCGGCCCCCTCCTTTAGTTGACCAAAAAGAGGGGAAAAGGGGAGAGGGCCTTTTTTGGGGTCTTTTTTTTTAAAATGAGGGGGCCCCCTTTGTTCAGGGAAAGGAAAAAGGGAAGGGGAAATTTTTTAAGAAAAAGAGGGGAGGGGGGAAGGGGGGGGGAGGGGAGAAAGGAAAAAAGAAAACCCAAAAGAAAAAGAAAAAAGGGAAAAAAAAGAACCGAAAAGGGGGGGGAAAAGAGAGACCTAAGAAAGGGCCCCCCCCCAAAAAAAGAAAAAAAGAAAAAAAGAACCCCTTTTCCCCCACCCCCAACCCCTTCCCCTTAACCCCCCAATCCCCCCCCCTCCCCCGTTTAAAATAAGTTTTTAATAACCCCCCAAACCCCCCCCAAAAACAGTGCAAAACATTGAAGGCCCCCCCTCTATCCCTCTCAAAAAAGGGGGAAAAGAGAAAGAAAAGAAAAAAAAGGGGGGAAAGGGGGGGAAAAAAGGGGGAACGGAAAAAAGAAAAAAAAGAGAGAAAAAAAGCGACAAAAGAGAAAAAAGGGGGAGAAAAAAAAGGAGAGAGAAAAGAGAGAAAAAGCGAGGGGAGAGAGAGAAAAAAGAAAGGAAAAAGGGGAGAGAGAAGAGAGGGAGAAAAAGAAAGAGAGAGGAAAAGGGGGGAGCGAGAGCGCGGAGAGAAAAAGAGAAAAGCCCGCCACCCCCTTTTTTTAAAAACCCCCTCCCCCTTCCCAAATTTTCCTCCTTTTTTCGAAAACCCCCTTTCCCTTTTTTCTCTGCCTCTTTCCCCCTTCCTCTCTTTTTTCTGCTCTAACTTCCCTCTCCCCTCTCACTCCCTGTGACCTATTTTGCATTATGACCAAAAAAGGGTTTTTTATTTTTTTCCCAAAGGTGTTTGTTCTTCATTGGGGTTTCCCCCTTTTTTGGCAATTTATTTAAAATGGGGGTTTTTTTTTCAAATTCTTTTTGGGTCTGTGTAATCGAGGGGGGATGTTTTTCTCTTTTCTCACCCCTCTGCTCTCTTTCCCAAAAATTTGACTCGGAAGGGCCCCCCCCGAAATTAAACGGAAATATCCCCTTTACTGGGCCCCAAATCAGTCCCAAAAAAAATATATCCGGGAAATTTTTTCTCTATCCTTCTCCTCTCTCTCATCTCTTTATCTCTCTCTCTCTCTCTTTTTATTTCCCCTCCTCTCCTTTCCCCTCTCTCTCCCCTTTTTTTAAAACAGGTTTCATGGTCTTTGACCTGTGGTGAAGATAAAAGATGGCAAACATCTTTGGGCCCCAGACTCTACCCCACCCTCCCCTTTCAGAGAAAATGAAGCGCCCCCTAAAAAAGATAGAGGACCCGGATTTCCCAAGAGGAGAAGGGAAATTTAGAGATTTAGGAAAAACATCAATTCCCTCCATCAATTTCCCTCAGTTAATCAATCAAGTAATCAATCAATCATATTTATTCATAAACCCCTATTTACATCAGCAGTTGTCACAAAATTATTTTACAGTAACTTGGCCTGGACCCAAAAGAGCAAGCAGAAGATCACTTCAACAATATACAAAAAAAAAAAAGAAATCCCATTTGTATATCATCCTCCCCCCCACGAGGTGGATTGGAAGGAGATTCCTGTTGAAAAGAGGGGCTTAGATTATTTAAATTTAATTTTTAAACATGTTAACACTTTTTACCTTTCCCTTAACCTCCTGTAGGACACGTACAATAACCAGAAACAGTAGCATTTGCCACTCTCCTGATGCTCCTTACCATCTTTTAAGAATGAGCGACTCTTTTTCGGATCAGTAGCAGACGAATAATGAATAACATAAACACCTAAGCTTCACTACACACCTATTGGCAGAACAACAAAGTAATTCCACAATCATCATTTGCTCCCCTTATCACTCCGCATGCAAAAATACAGAAGACAAAGGCAAAGAAGAAGGAGAGAGAAGGAATAAAACAAAAAAAGAAGAACAGACATAAGAAGTAGGAGGGGACGGATTTGAGAGGAGGTGTGAATGATGTGAGAAAAGTATTAAAATGTTAATATTACCCCCAACATCATGATAACTCATGAAAAAAGGATAGCATGGATCCTGTGCTACCCGCCACCTCCTCCTCTACTTTTTTATGCGCCTCTCTTTCTCCATCTCTGCACGCCTCTATATACGCGGTCGCTCACTTCTCCTGCTTCCTCCGACTCTTCTCTCTTCACTGCCGCTCCTACTCGCCACCCTCCTTCACCTCACATAGACAAAATGACACTACGAGTAAACACTGGCAAACCCTTGACGACACCCCTCCCCGACGCATCTCCCACTCAGCGACCCGAACGAAACAAAGAGTAGAGCGACACAGCAAAACCAAAGACGAGGCAGCGAAAACAACCTCCCGTCTCCTCGAGCCCAACAAAACACTCCCCGCACCCCCTCTCCAACACCCCTCCTCCTCCCAGACCCAGCCATAGACGAGATCCTAACATCGCCTATCATCTACCCTCCCCAACACCGTCCTCTTCTCTCCCAGCCACCTCTCCTCTTCTCCTCGCCTTCTCCTCTCCTCCTCTCCCCACCACCCCTCTCCTCCCATCTAACCTCTCTCCCAGCCATCTCACCTCTCTCCCAACCATCTCCTCTCCTCTCTCTCCCAACCATCTCCCTGAATGTCAACTTGGCAGTGTTGAACTGTGTCCCAAATGGCACCCTATTCCCTATGTAATGCACTACTATAGACCAGGGTCCTATAGGGATTATGGTGCCATTTGGGACTCAGCCTATAAAGTGACTCTAAATTGGTTAAGTGCCCTTCAGCTATGTGGAGTCATCTTTTGTGACCTTTCCATCCCTGCAGTTGCGTATGCATGGAGCAATATAACATTCTCTCAGGTCATCACCATGAATGTTAATGCGTACTTTCAGATGCCCCGGCGTATTTTTTTTAAGGACATTGTTAATTTTAAGCAAAACTAGGACGTCTTCTCAAAATCATTATCACAAACATGCAGACACCTCATCAGATCATTCTCAGCAGATGGTGGACGGTAATCAGGGATGTGGTGCAGTTGCCGTACCAGGCGGTGATACAGCCCAACAGGATGCTCTGAATTGTGCATCTGTAAAAGTTTGTGATGGTCTTAGGGGCCAAACTCAATTTCTTCACCACACTGTCTGTGTGGGTGGACCATTTCAGAGTGTCAGTGATGTGTACGCCGAGGAACTTGAAGCTTTCCACCTTCTCCACTGCGGTCCCGTCGATGTGGATAGGGGCGTGTTCCCTCTGCTGTCTCCTGAAGTCCACGATCCTCTCCATTGTTTCGTTTTGTTGACGTTGAGGAAGAGGTTCCTGGCACCACTCCGCCAGGGCCCTCACCTCCTCCCCTGTAGGCGGTCTCGTCATTGTTGGTAATCAAGCCTACTACTGTTGTGTCGTCTGCAAACTTGATGATTGAGTTGGAGGCGTGCTTGGCCACACAGTCATGGGTGAACAGGGAGTACAGGAGGGAGCTGAGCACGTACCCTTGTGGGGCCCCAGTGTTGAGGATCAGCGACGTGGAGGTGTTGTTTCCTACCTTCACCACCTGGGGGCGGCCCGTCAGAAAGTCCAGGACCCAGTTGCACTGGGCGGGGTTCAGACCCAGGGCCCGAGCTTAATGATGAGCTTGGAGGGTACTATGGTGTTGAATGCTGAGCTATAGTCAATGAACAGCATTCTGACGTAGGTATTCCTCTTGTCCAGATGGGATAGGGCAGTGTGCAATGCGATGACGATTGCATCGTCTGTGGATCTATTGGGGTGGTATGCAAATTGAAGTGGGTCTAGGGTGACAGGTGAGGTGGAGGTGATATGATCCTTAACTAGCCTCTCAAAGCACTTCATGATGACAGAAGTGAGTGCTACAGGGCGATAGTCATTTAGTTCAGTTACCTTTGCTTTCTTGGGTACAGCAACAATGGTGGACATCTTGAAGCAAGTGGGGACAGCAGACTGGGATAGGGAGAGATTGAATATGTCCGTAAACACTCCAGCCAGCTGGTCTGCGCATGCTTGGAGGACGCGGCTAGGAATGCTGTCTGGGCCGGCAGCCTTGCGAGGGTTAACACACTTAAATGTCTTACTCACGCCGGCCACGGAGAACGAGAGCCCACAGTCCTTGGTAGTGGGTCGCGTCGGTGGCACTGTGTTATCCTCAAAGCGGGCGAAGAAGGTGTTTAGCTTGTCTGGGAGCAAGACGTTGGTGTCCGCGATGTGGCTGGTTTTCCCTTTGTAATCCGTGATTGTCTGTAGACCCTGCTACATACTTATTGTGTCTGAGCTGTTTAATTGTGACTCCACTTAGTCTCTGTACTGACGTTTTGCCTGTTTGATTGCCTTACGGAAGGAATAACTGCACTGTTTGTATTCAACTGTATTCCCAGTCACCTTGCCGTGGTTAAATGCGGTGGTTCGCGCTTTCAGTTTTGCGCGAATGCTGCCATCTATCCACGGTATTTGATTTGGGTTTTAATAGTCACAGTGGGAACAACATCCCCTATACACTTCCTGATGAACTCAGTCACCGTGTCCGTGTATACGTCAACATATCCCAGTCCGCGTGATCAAAACAATCTTGAAGCATGGATTTCCGATTGGTCAGACCAGCGTTGAATAGACCTTTGCACAGGTACTTCCTGTTTGAGTTTCTGCCTATAGGAAGGGAGGAGCAGAATGAATCTGATTTGCTGAAGGGAGGGCGGGGGGAGGTCCTTGTAGCCATCCCGGAAGGGAGAGTAACAATGGTCGAGAATTTTTGAAGGCCGAGTACTACAGGCAATGTGTTGGTATAACTTCTGATACATTTTCCTCAAATGTTCTTTGTTAAAATCCCCAGCTACAATAAATGCGGCCTCAGGATATGTGGTTTCCAGTTTGCACAAAGTCTAGTGTAGATCCTTAAAGGCTGTCTGGGTATCGGCTTAAGGGGAAATATACACGGCTGTGACTATAACCGAAGAGAATTCTCAAGGGAGGTAATACGGACGGCATTTGATTGAGGTATTCTAGGTCTGGTGAACAAAAGGACTTGAGTTCCTGTACGTTATCACAATCACACCATGATTAGTTAATCATGAAACATACACCACCGCATTTCTTCTTTCCGGAGTGTTCTTTATTCCTGTCTGTGCGATGTACTGAGAACCCAGCTGGCTGTATGGACGGGGACAGTATATCCGGAGAGAGCCGTGATTCCGTGAAACAGAGTATGTTACAGTCCCTGATGTCTCTCTGGACAGAGATCCTCGCCCTGAGCTCGTCTACTTTATTGTCCAGAGACTGAACATTAGCGAGTAATACACTATATATAGTAATATACTCGGAAGCGGTGGATGGTGTGCACGCCTCCTGAGTCGGACTAGAAGTCCACTCCGAATACCTCTTCTTTGCCGGCGGCGTCTTGGAGCAGCCTCTGGGATAAGTTCAATTACATTTTTCACATGTTAGTCATTTAGGAGATGCTCTTATCCGGAGCGACTTACAGTATTGAGTACATACATTTTCATATTTGTTCGTATTGCCCTGGGGGGTACGAACAAAGGATCCAATTCGGGAAAGTCGTATTTCTGGTCGTAATGCTGGTGAGTTACCGCCACTCTGATATCCAAAAGTTATTTTCGGCTCTATGTAATAACCCCAAAAACTTTGTGGTGTAAGAAATAACAAAAAAAATAAAATATAATAAACACTGCAAAGTTGCTTAGGAGCTAGAAGCAGAGCTGCCATGTCTGTCGGTGCCAAATGTGTCAACCTGACAGCTTAATGAAGATGGGTCTGACTGATGGGAAATAACAGTCCAGTCACTGTCCAGTCTAATGAAGATGGGTCTGACTGATGTTAAATAACAGTCCAGTCACTGTTAGTCTATGTCATGGAAATGTTTTGCTCCTAATGTTTTGTACACTCAGTGTATATAAATCACAAAATCATGTTTTTGACTGCACTGGGCCTTTAACCTTCACAGGCCCGTGGCCAGATGATATGACAGCCAGGCTAGTGAAGAGTACTGGACCCCCTTGTATTAAATGCAACATCTCTGTTTCCTCCCTCTTTCCCTCTCCTCCTCCTCCTCTCCCCGGGGCAGTCTCAGAAACAGAACGTAGATCTGAGCAGGCAGGCCAAGTTCGCCCAGACCCCGTCCTTCGCCCTCTTCGTCACCCTGAAGAACGTGGTGTGTAAAATCGGTGAAGATGCAGAGGTGCTCATGTCCCTCTACGACCCCGTTGAGTCGAAGTTTATTAGGTATGTAACCTCTATGACCTCGTAGGGTTAAAGGTCATCATGTACAGTACACAGAGCGCATAGGGAGAGCATTTGCGTTGTGGGTTTTTGTAGTCGACTTGAGCTGCAACAGATTTCCACAACGATTTTCACACGTTGCTATACCAACCTTATTAAAACGACAAATTGAAACATTTGTTCACTAAAACTGTTGTTCTTATTTAACACTGTAAATTATAGGATTTAGTGGTTTTGGGTGGTTTCTTCCTTTTTAAGGTTAAAGGTCATCAGATATGTTCCTCTATGACCCTCTGAGGGTTAAAGTTTATCAGGTAAGCCAAGGGTCGCAAGAGTTCTGGAAACTTTCCTACACTTCCCAGGTTTTCCTGAAATCCCAGTTGGAGGATTGGCTCCCTGCTTATTTGCTCATTATTCCGGGAATCCTCTCATCTGGAATTTCTGGAAAACCTCTGAATCATGGGAATAGTATACTCCTAGGTATGAGTCCAAAGCCAGGACCGTGACAGAACAGACCCTGCTGCCTGCTGCCAGGGGATTCTATCGTTCCAGGATTACAGCATCAAATACTGTTTAAGAAGCATCTAATCTGTGTACGACATTAGTCAGTTGATTGTAATTTCTTCATGAAGAAACTAGAGAGTTAATTTGTGATGACAGATTGTAAAGTTTAAAAGGTTCGTTTTGGTACCCTCTTTGATTTGTTCCCTCTCTTCCCCTCCTAGTGAGAATTACCTGGTGCGATGGTCCAGTCAAGGCCTGGTCAAAGATATAGATCAACTCCATAACCTGAGATCAGTCTTCACCGTAAGTATATGTAGAGTGTGTGGCTGTAATGGGAGTGTTGGCTGCAGCTGCTGCATGATTGGATACCCAGCCCTGTCATGAGGGATGTCGGAGCCCGTGGTGTGTGTGTGTGTGTGTGTGTGTGTGTGTGTGTGTGTGTGTGTGTGTGTGTGAGTGTGTGTGTGTGAGTGTGTGTGTGTGAGTGTGTGTGTGTGTGTGTGTGTGTGTGTGCCCCCCTGTTTGAGGGGGCGGTGTTTGTTAAGCTCCCCGGCTCTGAAAGATAAAGACCAGGACCCAGAGCGACCCGGCTTGTTTGTCGAAAGTCACCTCTCTACTAATGGCTGGCCAAGGTCAGCCAGGTTACCAGGCGCCTACGTACGACAAGCTAGCTGATGCCTGCTACTTGCTGCGCTGCTCGCTCTACTGGCCACAGCAGGAAATGAACCGTGGAGTCAATTAAATAGGGAGTTAAAGCAATTTGCGGGCAAAAACTGCCGCCTTAACAAAAGTTTATCCTCCCTTGAAAAGGTTCTGATGAATTGTTCACTCAGCCCTACCTGGCTCGTTGTCATTGGTGTTACTGCTGCAGCCTAGTAAACAGATCAGCCTGGTGGTGATGGTGTTACTGCTGCAGCCTAGTAAACAGATCAGCCTGGTGGTGGTGGTGTTACTGCTGCAGCCTAGTAAACAGATCAGCCTGGTGGTGATGGTGTTACTGCTGCAGCCTAATAAACAGATCAGCCTGGTGGTGATGGTGTTACTGCTGCAGCCTAGTAAACAGATCAGCCTGGTGGTGGTGGTGCTACTGCTGCAGCCTAGTAAACAGATCAGCCTGGTGGTGATGCTGTTACTGCTGCAGCCTAGTAAACAGATCAGCCTGGTGGTGATGGTGTTACTGCTGCAGCCTAGTAAACAGATCAGCCTGGTGGTGATGGTGTTACTGCTGCAGCCTAGTAAACAGATCAGCCTGGTGGTGATGGTGTTAGTGCTGCAGCCTAGTAAACAGATCAGCCTGGTGGTGATGGTGTTACTGCTGCAGCCTAGTAAACAGATCAGCCTGGTGGTGGTGGTGTTAGTGCTGCAGCCTAGTAAACAGATCAGCCTGGTGGTGATGGTGTTACTGCTGCAGCCTAATAAACAGATCAGCCTGGTGGTGATGGTGTTACTGCTGCAGCCTAGTAAACAGATCAGCCTGGTGGTGATGGTGTTAGTGCTGCAGCCTAATAAACAGATCAGCCTGGTGGTGGTGTTACTGCTGCAGCCTAATAAACAGATCAGCCTGGTGGTGGTGTTACTGCTGCAGCCTAATAAACAGATCAGCCTTGGTGGTGTGTTACTGCTGCAGCCTAGTAAACAGATCAGCCTGGGGGGTGGTGTTACTGCTGCAGCCTAATAACCAGATCAGCATGGTGTCGGTTGGTGTGTTACTGCTGCAGCCTAGTAAACAGATCAGCCTGGTGGTGGTGGTGTTACTGCTGCAGCCTATAGTAAACAGATCAGCCTGGTGGTGATGCTGTTACTGCTGCAGCTAGTAAACAGATCAGCCTGGTGGTGATGCTGTTACTGCTGCAGCCTAGTAAACAGATCAGCCTGGTGGTGATGGTGTTACTGCTGCAGCCTAGTAAACAGATCAGCCTGGTGGTGATGGTGTTACTGCTGCAGCCTAGTAAACAGATCAGCCTGGTGGTGATGGTGTTACTGCTGCAGCCTAGTAAACAGATCAGGCCTGGTGGTGGATGGTGTTATGCTGCAGCCTAGTAAACAGATCAGCCCTGGTGGTGATGGTGTTACTGCTGCAACGGCCTAATAAACAGATCAGCCTGGTGGTGAATGGTGGTACCTGCTGCAGCCTATAAACGATCAGCCTGGTGGTGATGGTGTTAGTGCTGCAGCCTAATAAACAGATCACCTGGTGGTGGTGTTAGTGCTTGCAGCTCAGTAAAACAAATTCAGCCTGGTGGTGGTGGTGTTACTGCTGGCGCCTAATAAACAGATCAGTCCTGGTGTGGTGGTGTTACTGCTGCAGCTAATAAACAGATCAGCCTGGTGGTGATGGTGTTCTGCTGCAGCCTAATAACAGATCAGCCTGGTGGTGATGGTGTTACTGCTGCAGCCTAATAAACAGACAGCCTGGTTTGTGGTGTTACTGCTGCAGCCTAGTAAACAGATCACCTGGTGATGGTGTTACTGCTGCAGCCCTAGTAAACAGATCAGCCTGGTGGTGATGCTGTTACCGCTGCAGCCTAGTAAACAGATCAGCCTGGTGGGTGATGGTGTTACTGCTTGCAGCCTAATAAACAGATCAGCCTGGTGGTGATGGTGTTACTGCTGCAGCCTAGAAACAGATCAGCCTGGTGGTGGTGGTGTGTTACTGCTGCAGCCTAGTAAACAGATCAGCCTGGTGGTGGTGGTGCTACTGCTACACCTAGTAAACAGATCGCCTGGTGGTGATGTGTTACTGCTGCAGCCTAATCAAACAGCTCAGCCTGGTGGTGGTGTTACTGCTGCAGCCTAATAAACAGATCAGCCTGGTGGTGGTGGTGTTACTGCTGCACCTAGTAAACAGATCAGCCTGGTGGTGGTGTTTTTACTGCTGCATCCTAGTAACATACGTCAGCCTGGTGGTGGTGGTGTTACTGCTGCAGCCTAGTAAACAGATCAGCCTGGTGGTGATGGTGTTACTGCTGCAGCCTAGTAAACAGATCAGCCTGGTGGTGGTGGTGTTACTGCTGCAGCCTAATAAACAGATTAGCCTGGTGGTGGTGGTGTTACTGCTGCAGCCTAATAAACAGATCAGCCTGGTGGTGGTGGTGTTTACTGCTGCAGCCTATAAACAATTCAGCCTGGTGGTGGTGGTGTTAACTGCTGCAGCCTAGTAAACAGATCACCCGGTGTGGTGGTGTTACTGCTGCAGCCTAGAACAGATCAGCCTGGTGGTGGTGGTGTTCTTGCTGCAGCCTATCAAAGATCACCTGGTGGTGGTGTGTTACTGCTGCAGCCTAATAACAATCAGCCTGGTGTGGTGGTGTTACTGCTGCAGCCTAGTAATCAGATCAGCCTGTGGTGGTGGTGTTACTGCTGCAGCCTAATAAACAGATCAGCCTGGTGGTGGTGGTGTTACTGCTGCAGCCAATAAACAGATCATCCTGGTGGTGTGGTGTTACTGCTGCAAAGCCTAGGTAAACAGATCACCTGGTGGTGGTGGTTAATGCTGCAGCCTAAAAACAGATCAGCCTGGTGGTGGTGGTGTTTACTGCTGCAGCCTAATAAACAGATCATCCTGGTGTGGTGGTGTTATGCTCAGCCTAGTAACAGACAGCCTTTGGGTGTGTTGGGTGAATCTGTTGTTTTACTGCTGCAGCCTAGTAAACAGATCAGCCTGGTGTGGTGGGTTACTGCTGCAGCCTAGTAACAGATCAGCCTGGTGGTGGTGTGTTACTGCTGCAGCCTATAAACAGATCAGCCTGGTGGTGGTGGTTTACTGCTGCAGCCTAATAAACGATCAGCCTGGTGGTGGTGGTGTTTTACCTAAATCACCGTGTCCTGCAGCATAAACAGATCAGCCTGGTGGTGGTGGTGTTACTGCTGCAGCCTAATAACAAATCACCTGGTGGTGGTGGTGTTTACTGCTGCAGCCTATAAACAGATCACCTGGTGGTGGTGGTGTTTACTGCTGCAGCCTAGTAAACAGATCAGCCTGGTGGTGTGTTGGTGTTACGCTGCAGCCTAGTAAACAGATCAGCCTGGTGGTGGTGGTGTTACTGCTGCAGCCTAATAAACAGATCCAGCCTGGTGGTGATGGTGTTTACTGCTGCAGCCTAGTAAACAGATCAGCCTGGTGGTGGTGTGTTACTGCTGCAGCCTAATAAACAGATCGCCTGGTGGTGATGGTGTTACTGCTGCAGCCTAATAAACAGATCAGCCTGGTGGTGGGTGTTACTGCTGCAGCCTAGTAAACAGATCAGCCTGGGGGTGATGGTTACTGCTGCAGCCTAGTAAACAGATTTAGCCTGGTGGTGGTGGTGTTACTGCTGCAGCCTAGTAAACAGATCAGCCTGGTGGTGGTGGTGTTACTGCTGCAGCCTAGTAAACAGATCAGCCTGGTGGTGATGCTGTTACTGCTGCAGCCTAGTAAACAGATCAGCCTGGTGGTGATGGTGTTACTGCTGCAGCCTAGTAAACAGATCAGCCTGGTGGTGGTGTTTACTGCTGCAGCCTATAAACAGATCAGCCTGGTGGTGGTGGTGTTACTGCTGCAGCCTAATAAACAGATCAGCCTGGTGGTGATGGTGTTGCTGCTGCAGCCTAATAAACAGATCAGCCTGGTGGTGGTGTTACTGCTGCAGCCTAATAAACAGATCAGCCTGGTGGTGGTGTTACTGCTGCAGCCTAATAAACAGATCAGCCTGGTGGTGGTGTTACTGCTGCAGCCTAGTAAACAGATCAGCCTGGTGGTGGTGGTTTACTGCTGCAGCCTAATAAACAGATCAGCCTGGTGGTGGTGTTACTGCTGCAGCCTAGTAACAGATCAGCCTGGTGGTGGTGGTGTTACTGCTGCAGCCTAGTAAACAGATCAGCCTGGTGGTGGTGGCGTTACTGCTGCAGCCTAATAAACAGATCAGCCTGGTGGTGATGGTGTTACTGCTGCAGCCTAATAACAGATCACCTGGTGGTGTGGGTGTTACTGCTGCAGCCTAGTAAACAGATCAGCCTGGTGGGGTGGTGTTACTGCTGCAGCCTAGTTAAACAGATCAGCCTGGTGGGTGGATTGGTGTTTATTCTGCTGTCAGGCCTAATAAAAAAAAACCAAAGAAAAAATTTTCAGCCTGGTGTGTGGTGTTAACTGCTGCAGTCTATTAAACAGATCAGCCTGGTGGTGGTGGTGTTACTGCTGCAAGCCTAGTAAACGATCAGCCTGGTTGGTGGGTGGTGTTAACTGCTGCAGCCTAAAAAAAAAACAAAAAAAATAACAGTTCAGACTGGTGGTGATGTGTTAACTGCTGCAGCCTAGTAAACAGATCAAGCCCGGTGGTGGGGGTGTTACGGCTGCAGCCTAATAAACGAATCAGCCTGGTGTGGTGTTTAGTGCTGCAGCCTAGTAAAACAGATAGCCTGGTGGTGGTGGTGTCTACGCTGCAGCCCTAATAAACAGATCAGCCCTGGTGGTGGTGGTGTTACTCTGCCAGCCTAGTAAACAGATCAGCCTGGTGGTGGTGGTGTTACTGCCTGCAGCGCTAATAAACATCAGCCTGGTGGTGGTTGTTAGTGCTGCAGCCTAGTAAACAGATCAGCCTGGTGGTGATGGTGTTACTGCTGCAGCCTAATAAACAGATCAGCCTTGACGAGAAGCGAAAACCAGACAAATTTGATACCAGATTGTCCTTATTGGCCTCATCGCAATGACACAGAGTACCAATGACACAGAGTACCAATGTAACTAACTAGAATTGTGTACAAGAAGTCAAAATGTAAATGTGCTCCTGGGCAGCACAGGCGGCTGGTGGCACCTTTTAATTGGGGAGGACATACTCGTAGTAATGTCTGGAACCGAATAAATGGAACGGTATCAAACAGATGGTTTCCATGGTTTCCATGTGCTTGATGCCGTTCCATTGACTCCATTCCAGCCATTATTATGAGCCGTCCTCCCCTCAGCAGCCTCCTGTGGTGGTCAGGATTGCTCCAAGGCAACGCTCGCTCACTCTTTCACTGTGTTCTGTGTAGTCTGAAGAAACACTTGGGCAGCGTTGCTCCAAGGCTTTACTCTTTCTCAGCGTTTCTTCATCCTGGTCCTGGGGACCCAGAGGGGGGCACATGTCTGCTTTTCCCCCTAGCACTACACAGCCAATCCAAAATGCTCAACTCATCGAGCTTTGATGATTTTGAATCAGATGTGTAGTGCTAGGGCAAAAACAAAAATGTGCAGCCCTTTGGGTCCCCAGGACCAGAATTAAGAAACACTGTTCTATCTATACTGAACAAAAATATAAACTCAACATGTAAAGTGTTGGTCCCATGTTTCATGCCGCTGAAATAAAAGATCCCAGAAATGTTCCATACGCACAAAAAAACATATTTCTCTCAAATTTTGTGCACAAATTTGTTTACGCCCCTGTTAGTGAGCATTTCTCCTTTGCCAAGATAAATCCATCCACCTGACAGCTGTGGCATATCAAGAAGCTGATTAAACAGCATGATCATTACACAGGTGCACCTTGTGCTGGGGACAATAAAAGGACACTAGTCACACAGCACAATGCCACAGATGTCTCACGTTTTGAGGGAGCGTGCAATTGGCTTGCTGACTGCAAGAATGTCCACCAGAGCTGTTGCCAGAGATTTGAATGTTCATTTATCTACCATAAGCCACCTCCAACTTCGTTTTAGAGAATTTGACAGTACGTCTTACCGGCCTCACAACCGCAGACCACATTTAACCACGCCAGCCCAGGACCTCCACATCCGGCTTCTTCACCTGCGGGATCGTTTGAGACCAGCCACCCGGGGCAGCTGATGAAACTGAGGAGTATTTTTGTCTGTAAAAACGCCCTTTTGTGGGGGAAAAACTAATTCTGATTGGCTGCCCTCCCAGGCCCACCCATGGCTGCTCCCCTGCCCAGTCATGTGAAATCCATAGATTAGGGCCTAATTAATTTATTTCAATTGACTGATTTCCTTATATGAACTGTAACTCAGTAAAATTGTTGAAATTGTTGCATGTTTAATATTTTTGTTCAGTATAAAATATTTTCTTCCCCCCCAGTGTAACTGAAGTTGTGTAGGCTACAAGAAGGTAGGTGGTTCTGCTTCAATACCTCCGCTGAGTCCATTTGTGGTTCTGTTTCCCCAGGACCTTGGGAGTGAAGATTTAAAGAGAGAGAAGATCAGCTTTGTGTGTCAGATCGTTAGAGTTGGACGTATGGAGCTACGTGACAACAACACAAAGAAGCTGACCTCTGGGCTGAGGAGACCCTTTGGAGTAGCAGGTAGACTGGCCGTGATGGAGCCGGGATATAGCCTGTTGTGCTAGCATTCCTCTAGCCTAGCAACCAGTCTGTTTGTGCCAACATTCCTCTAGCCTAGCAACCAGTCTGTTTGTGCTAACATTCCTCTAGCCTAGCAACCAGTCTGTTTGTGCTAACATTCCTCTAGCCTAGCAACCAGTCTGTTTGTGCTAACATTCCTCTAACCTAGCTACCAGTCTGTTTGTGCTAACATTCCTCTAGCCTAGCTACCAGTCTGTTTGTGCTAACATTCCTCTAGCCTAGCAACCAGTCTGTTTGTGCTAACATTCCTCTAGCCTAGCAACCAGTCTGTTTGTGCCAACATTCCTCTAACCTGGGTACCAGTCTGTTTGTGCTAACATTCCTCTAGCCTAGCAACCAGTCTGTTTGTGCTAACATTCCTCTAGCCTAGCTACCAGTCTGTTTGTGCTAACATTCCTCTAGCCTGGGTACCAGTCTGTTTGTGCTAACATTCCTCTAGCCTAGCAACCAGTCTGTTTGTGCTAACATTCCTCTAGCCTAGCAACCAGTCTGTTTGTGCTAACATTCCTCTAGCCTGGGTACCAGTCTGTTTGTGCTAACATTCCTCTAGCCTAGCTACCAGTCTATTTGTGCTAACATTCCTCTAACCTGGGTACCAGTCTGTTTGTGCTAACATTCCTCTAGCCTGGGTACCAGTCTGTTTGTGCTAACATTCCTCTAGCCTAGCAACCAGTCTGTTTGTGCTAACATTCCTCTAGCCTAGCTACCAGTCTGTTTGTGCTAACATTCCTCTAGCCTAGCTACCAGTCTGTCTGTGCTAACATTCCTCTAACCTAGCTACCAGTCTGTCTGTGCTAACATTCCTCTCCTTATACTCTGTGTCATATCCCCAACATGTTTGGCTTTTGATACGGAGTACAAGGAGTGGAATATTGGCACAGAACAGGTCTGGATTTTAGGCTATAGTGTAACTGTATCCATGTTACCAGAGCACTGACTGGGCCCACAGTACAGGTACATCTAGCCAAACAAAAGCTGAGGAGACTCTGGCTCATAGAAGTAGAAGAACTAGAATGGGGAGAAGCCCCTCAGACCGCTGCCATCTGGCAGCGCAATCAATATGGCCGCCGGTCCACCCCATCACGGAACGTTGACTTGGAATGGGGATGTTAGTTCTTTTCATTCCATTTCTATGCTCTGGCCTACCGTGTGGCTTGAGAGACACTGGTTTCTGGAGAGTTTATTCTTTCTATCGGAGTGGCTGCACTTCCGGATTTTCTGGAACCCGACTTGCTTTTTCCAAAAAAAAAAAATCCGTAGATTTCTGGACATACGTGATCCACTAGCCTATCTCCCTTCAGCTGCCGCTCAGCGGTCAGTCACTCCATGACTCTGCTGCTGCTTGTACACAAAGTTAGACCAAACGCAGCTCTTTGTGTGTCGTGACAGTAGGCTAACATAAGTAGGATTGTCTGTCGAGACAGTAGGCTAACATAAGTAGGACACAAACAGGTTGTCTAGAGTTACGGGAAGCTATTCACGCCAGCTGTATGTTGCCTACACAGTATATCAAACTAGCAAGCCACAGACGGGCAGTAAATTGTGATTTAATGTTCTTTTTTTTTTCATAATCATTGCAAACATTGGCTTAAACAGGAGGCAGACGGCTGGCTATATGGCAGCATACCTATAAAGATTACATCACACAAAACGCTAATTGTTTTTCCCCAATGCAACGTGTAGAATGCGTCTTGCTTGTGCTACGGCAATATACGTTTCAACAGACCGATAAGGTTGTAGCCTTCATATACTGTTATACCATTGACCTCCTATACTATATGTCCTGTCTCTAACAGTAACATACTGCTAAACCATTGACCTCCTATACTATATGTCCTGTCTCTAACAGTAACAGACTGCTATACCATTGACCTCCTATACTATATGTCCTGTCTCTAACAGTAACAGACTGCTATACCATTGTCCTCCTATACTATATGTCCTGTCTCTAACAGTAACAGACTGCTATACCATTGACCTCCTATACTATATGTCCTGTCTCTAACAGTAACAGACTGCTATACCATTGACCTCCTATACTATATGTCCTGTCTCTAACAGTAACAGACTGCTATACCATTGACCTCCTATACTATATGTCCTGTCTCTAACAGTAACAGACTGCTATACCATTGACCTCCTACACTATATGTCCTGTCTCTAACAGTAACAGACTGCTATACCATTGACCTCCTATACTGTATAGGTCCCGTCTCTAACAGTCATGGATGTGACTGACATCATAACAGGCAAGATGGATGATGAGGACAAGCAGCATTTCATCCCCTTCCAGCCGTGAGTATGAAATATGAACACACTCCTGATCCATCACAGCACCATAGAACAGCACACTAAGTCATTAAACCCACATTGACGTCTCCAGTCCTCCTTTATCATGGGAAGATGTTGCATAAACACATCAAATATGGAACAGAACATAATGGAGGTCTATGTTGGGGTACTGCTCTGACCTCTATGGAACAGACCATAATGGAGGTCTATGTTGGGGTACTGCTCTGACCTCTATGGAACAGAACCATAATGGAGGTCTATGTTGGGGGTACTGCTCTGACCTCTATGGAACAGACCATAATGGAGGTCTATGTTGGGGTACTGCTCTGACCTCTATGGAACAGAACATAATGGAGGTCTATGTTGGGGTACTGCTCTGACCTCTATGGAACAGAACCATAATGGAGGTCTATGTTGGGGTACTGCTCTGACCTCTATGGAACAGACCATAATGGAGGTCTATGTTGGGGTACCGCTCTGACCTCTGTCCCCTAAAGCTACGGTTGAAGTAGTGTGCAGAGTAGACAGTGTCCTGCGTCTGAAGTGACACCCATGTTCCCTATATAGTGCACTACTGCCGTATGGGCCCTGGTCAAAAGTAGTGCACCGTAAAGTGAACAGGGGTGCCATTTGGAACGCAGACAGGGGACTATGTTTTTGAGATTTCCTCAATACTTCACACCTGATTCATCTGCAGTTTAAGACCCACCCTATTACCCACATAGAGCAGGTCAAAAGTAGTGCAGTCTATAGGGAATGGGGTTGCCATTTGGAACGCACCCCCTCCACTATTCCACCGTGACTAAATTAAGGCAATCACATTTAACCGCCTGTGTTCCTGGGAGGATTTTATAATTGGAAATGCTTTAGGCAGAGTCCCAAATGGCACCCCTATTCCCTATATAGTGCACTACTTTCAAAAGTGGTGAACGATGTAAGGAAATAGGGTGCCATTTGGGACTCAGACCGTAGATACCAAGGAGTTTAGTTTAGTTGGCACCGTAGGGCAGACCACTTCAGTTAACAGCTCTATCTATGAACGTAAATCATGGAAAGGATTAGACTTCACATTTACTCAGAGGAAAAGGGATTGGGACAGGGAGAGTAGTAGGTGTGGTGTTTTGACGCAAGTTTGAATCTCTCCTCACACACACACACACACACGCACACACACACACACACACACACACACACACACACACACACACACACACACACACTATCTGACTGATGCATTTCCAGTGTAGGTCGTTGTCTTACTAGCAGCGTGAGTTTTTAGCTACGCCCCTGTTCTAAGGCAAACTAAACAGGAAGTTACTTAAAAAGGACTGTTTGATGTAACTACATAATTGGTTAGAGATCTCTGGCATCCAAACAGCTTCAGCTCGGAGATGGAAATGGCCTTCGGATATGGAAAACAAAGGTGTAGATTTAATGTAATGTTCTTCGTAGTCTTGCCAGAGGCAACATCATTCCCTGTAAGACTTAGACTAGGGCTATGATGGCATTTTCTAACCTAGTTTATTTAGAGTCTAAAGGCAGGGAAAATGGATAGACGTTAGTCACGCTTCAATGTTATTGCTGATTAATTAAATCAAGCTCTTATTTATTTCATTTCCACCCTTTAAAATACTCTACATATTCCAATAAATGCTATGCATCCTTCAGGTATTTCCCAACAAATCATGTAAAAAAAAAAAAAAATCTCTCTTTGAAATGTTCTCTTTCGGGTTTACATGCATACTCACTCACAAAAAGTTGAGTATTAACGAGACGAGACACCTTGTTTACATCTCAAAATGGCACCTTAGTCCCTATATAGAGCCCCTGGTAAAAAAAAGTAGTGCACTATATTGGGAATTAGGGTGCCATTTGGGATGCACTTGCACCTTTTCCTGTGTAATGTAGGGGTTGTTGTGGAGTGTTGGTACCGGCCGGTGTGTAATGTATAGAGGGGTTGTTGTGGAGTGTTGGTACCGGCCGGTGTGTAATGTAGGGGTTGTTGTGAGTGTTGGTACCGGCCGGTGTGTAATGTAGGGTTTTGTGGAGGAGGAGTTGTTGGTACGGCGTGTTATGAGGGTGTTGGTACCGGCCGTGTGGTACAGTAGGGGTTGTGTGGGTGTGGTACCGGCCGGTGTGTAATGTAGGGTTTTTGGAGTGTTGGTACGCCGCGTGTGTAATTGGGTTGTTGTGGAGGTTGTGGGGTATGTTTGGTTGTGTGTGAGTACGTTGGTACCGGCCGGTGTGTGTATCCAGTGTCAAATGTTGAAGTGGATGTGATTGAAGCCCTGGTAAAACCCCGAGGGGCTTCGTTAGTTAGAGCTTAGCTGGGGTTTCTTGTACTGCAGTGGTTTTAAAACCTCTCTTCGGGGGACCCCCAGACGTTTCACAATGATGTTGTAGCCCTGAAGTAGCTCACTTGATTCACCTATTTAAGGGCTTGGTGATTTTGTTGACGTGTTGAATCAGGTGCGCTTGCTGTGGAATAATTAAAATACATGGAATGGCTGGGGTTCTACTGTGAGATGTTTGAAACCCCCTGTTGTACTGCACCTCCTCTCTGACACCTCTCCTCTGACACCTCCTCTCTGACACCTCCTCTGACACCTCCTCTCTGACTCCTCTCCTCTGACACCTCTCTACTCCTCTCCTCTGACCCTCCTCTCTCTCCTCTCCTCTGACACCTCCTCTCTGACTCCTCTCCTCTGACACCTCCCTCTTCCCCTCCTGACACCTCTCCTCTGACACCTCCTCTCTGACACCTCCTCTCTGACACCTCTCCTCTGACACCTCCTCTCTGACACCTCTCCTCTGACACCTCTCCTCTGACACCTCCTCTCTGACACCTCTCCTCTGACACCTCCTCTCTGACACCTCTCCTCTGACACCTCCTCTCTGACACCTCTCCTCTGACACCTCCTCTCTGACACCTCTCCTCTGACACCTCCTCTCTGACACCTCCTCTCTGACACCTCCTCTCTGACACCTCCTCTCTGACACCTCTCCTCTGTTCTCCCGTCCCTCTGTTCTCCTACACTCCTTTCCTCATTGTCGTTATGCTCTCCAGTGGTGGCTGGTGGCACTTTAAATCGGAGGACGGGCGTAGTAATGGGCTGGAACGGAATCGGTGGAACGGTATTGAACACATGGTTTCCTTGTTTTGATACCATTCCATTTACTCCATTCCAGCCATCACTATGAGCCGTCAGATAGCGCGTCGGCGTGTCTGCACTGATCTGTCTGATAAACTCGTAAACACTCATGGGATAGCTAAAAATAAGTTTGGCTACAATATACAAAAAAAATGTTACCAAGGTGACATCGTCCACTGAACCCCCTTTCATCCTCAAAAGAGTCAATTAATCAGACGCGTAACTTAAACGCCTCACAACTTCATCAACAAGCTGGCAAGCTAGCTATCGAATGGCCCTTCAAACAAGCTTGCACTACGCTGCTAATTGGAGCAAGTTTGCTCAGTTGATGGAGCATGGGTTTACTGTAGTAGCCGGTTGGTCATAGCTACCGAGAGCGGAGTGATTTTCAGAATTAGGAACTAGTTGTTAGGCGGATTTCCACGACCTACTAGACAGATGGGTTGTGGTACGAGTGTTACGTAGGAGTGACGCCATCTGACGTGAGACAATGCTGTCCTCTCCTCACCAACCGCCTGTCATTTTTCACTCCTCTGTCATACTACACTGGTCCTAGCTACACTGGTTCTAGCTACACTGGACCCAGCTACACTGGTCCTAGCTACACTGGTTCTAGCTACACTGGACCCAGCTACACTGGTCTTAGCTACACTGGTCCTAGCTACACTGTTCCTAGCTACACTGGTCCCAGCTACACTGGTCCTAGCTACACTGGTCTTAGCTACACTGGACCCAGCTACACTGGTCTTAGCTACACTGGTCCCAGCTACACTGGGCCTAGCTACACTGTGCCTAGCTACACTGGTCTTAGCTACACTGGTCCTAGCTACACTGGTCCTAGCTACACTGGTCCTAGCTACACTGGACCCAGCTACACTGGCCCAGCTACACTGGCCCAGCTACACTGGTCTTAGCTACACTGGTCCCAGCTACACTGGGCCTAGCTACACTGTGCCTAGCTACACTGGTCTTAGCTACACTGGTCCTAGCTACACTGGTCCTAGCTACACTGGTCCTAGCTACACTGGACCCAGCTACACTGGCCCAGCTACACTGGTCCCAGCTACACTGGTCCTAGCTACACTGGTCTTAGCCACACTGGACCCAGCTACACTGGTCTTAGCTACACTGGTCCTAGCTACACTGGTCTTAGCTACACTGGTCTTAGCTACACTGGTCCCGGCTACACTGGTTCTAGCTACACTGTACCTAGCTACATTAGTTTTCCTACACTTGTTTTAACGCCCCACGTCTGTCTCTCTCAGCTCTCACAGCAGCTGCCACACACGTGACTCTCCCTAGCTTCCCAAACCACACCTGCTGCTTTCTGATGCTCAGTACTGTATCAGTGCTACTCTCAATCAATCTGTCTCTCTCTCTGCCCTAGACTCTGCCCTAGACTCTGCCATAGACTCTGCCCTAGACTCTGCCCTAGACTCTGCCCTAGACTCTGTACACTAGACTCTGCCCTAGACTCTGCCCTAGACTCTGTACACTAGACTCTGCCCTAGTCTCTGTACACTAGACTCTGCCCTAGACTCTGCCCTAGACTCTGCCCTAGACTCTGCCCTAGACTCTGCCCTAGACTCTGCCCTAGACTCTGCCCTAGACTCTGCCCTAGACTCTGTACACTAGACTCTGTACACTAGACTATGCCCTAGACTCTGCCCTAGACTCTGCCCTAGACTCTGCCCTAGACTCTGCCCTAGACTCTGCCCTAGACTCTGCCCTAGACTCTGTACACTAGACTCTGCACTAGACTCTGCCCTAGACTCTGTACACTAGACTCTGCCCTAGTCTCTGTACACTAGCCTCTGCCCTAGACTCTGCCCTAGACTATGTACACTAGCACTAG